TTTCTGTTTGGCATTTCCGTTCTCTAGCCTAAGTGCTCTGCCCTATGAGCGGTGTTTTCAGTGGTAGCCCAAGGTAATGCAGGGGGTTTTAGCACACCTTTGTATTACACAGTAACTTCCTTGTTGGGGTTCAAGCTCCAGATCCTCTCCTGTTGTACAGGTCCTGAGGTTTTTCCTGTAACTCCAAGAAAGTTTGCCCTGAGAGCTATAGAAATGTGGTATGATTAATCTAATATAAAATGATGTTGAGGAATTTTATTTTATTTGATAATTATGAAGGAAATGTTATTCTTCACTAAATAATACAATGGCCATGACATACGACACGTTTCTCCTTCCCTCCTGCCCTTTCACCTCTTTACCCTAATTCTTGGACTCACTGTCCTCTCCCTGTCCTCTTCCTCTCTCCCCTTCTTTCTTCTGCTCCTCCTCTTCTTCTTCGTCTTGCTCTTGTTCTCCTTCTGCTTCTCTTCCTCGTTTTCTTCCCCCTTTAACTCCACATTCCATTCTTATGCTTCTTTCCACACCCCTCTCCCTCCCTCTTTCTCTCTCTCTGTCTCTTTTTTTCTTGACTGAGGGAAGATTTTCATTATTTTCAGGCACAGATTGAATAGCCCCATAGTAATTTCCTTGATTGCAACCAATCTGTAGCGAGTATCAGTTAGAGGAAGGCTATTTTAAACAGAAATGCACAGGGTATGAATGTGTTAAAGGTAGAAACATGTAAGGTATACTTTTGGAACACTGTTATGGGAATGTTGATAAGTCACTGAGGGCTATCATATTTTGAAGATACAGGAATAAATCATCACAAATGGGACAAAAACATTTTCTTGACAAATAGATGCTGGCACAATTAATTACAGTTTAGAAAAAAAAGAATGCTGACTTCATAAAAAAATATATATATACAGAAAATATTAAAGGATTAGATATAACTTTTACAAACATAAGAAAATGATAAGACAATAATGAGAAATATTTATATTAAATCAGAACCAAAAAGGGCTTTCTAATTATAAAGCTGATGTAAGGAATAAAAAAAAATTCTAAACTAAAAATATTCCACACAAAGTTACAAGAAGAGCGATATATTAAAAAATATGGGAATCAACATAAAAAATGGTAAACTCAAAATTTAAAAGTCGGAAGAGAAAATAAACAAATAATTCTTAGAGGGTAAATCTTAGTAGTTACCAAATATATGGAAAAAAACCTTTTAAAAATACTTGTAATACAAGATATTGATATTTTCTGATTACATCTTAGGAAGAGTGAGTGCAGTGGCACCCTCACATTTGTCTTTCTTCTCTGCTCCTGGGAAAGGGAAGAGATTCAGTTGTTGGATTCTATTCTAAAATGCTATTGTGTATAGCTCCTAGGGGACTGATCCAGTTTTTCTTTTCAACTTGTACTCTCACTATATTTCTAGCCTCTTTTCTTCAGACCAACCCTTGTGTTTGGCCTCCAGTGTCTTGAACATTTTGGCTTGACTTCCTCCTCTGTTCCCTTTTCCTGTCTTTATTCCTAGTTCAGTCTCTGATCTAGAAGGAAGGCAACATGGTGTAGGGACTTCCTCTGGAGTAAGCCCACCTGGGTTCAAAGTTTAGCCCCACTAATTAGAGGCCCAGTGAAACTAAGGAGATTATCTAACATCTCATTATTCTCTGCTATAATGTGGGGAAATTTTAGGAAATTCTCTTCACAGGGGTTTGATATATAGATCAAATATGACAATATTTATGAATTACGTAAAGTAATATCTGGTATGTAACAACTGTGATCAAAGTGCATTAATTTTAAACATATTTTGCATGGATAATCTGTTATTAATTACTCCTTTTAATAAAGCTCACAATGTTTTCTAAGGCAGAAGCATTCGATTTTTATATAAACATACTGATAATTCTTCCTTGATTTTTAAACTTTTTTAACTCAATAAAGATTTCAAATTGATAGTTTTATTTTAGCATATTTAATTTTTTACATTTAAGTATTTTTATAAATTATATGGATAACAGCTTTATTGAAATATAATCCTCTTAGCATAAAACTAATCCCATTAAAATGTTCAATTCAGTGGTTTTAATATATTCACAAAATTGTGCAGCAATCATGGCTAGCAAAGTTGAGAAAATTTCTATCATTCCAAAAAGTATTCCATATCTATTAGTAGTCGTTTTCCACCACCCATTAAGCCCTGCTGCTGGTAAGCACTAATCTGTTTTCTATCTCTGTGGGATCTGGCTGTTCTGGACATTTCCTACAATAGGCTCATAATGTATGGCTTTTTGTGTCTGGCTTCTTTCTTTTAGCATAATGTTCTCAAGACTAATTTATGTTGTGAGATAGATTAGTACTTTATTCCCTTTTATTGCCAAATAATATTTTATTGTATATAAACATACCACTGTGTGTATATCTGTTTATCAGTTGATAGGTATTGGGTTGTTTTCACTTTTTGATTATTATAAGTAATACTACTATGAATATATGTATACAATTGGTATATAGAAACTTTAAAAAAAATGTTTGATAAATTGTTAGACATATGTTGACCCTTTGTTTAACTTTTTGAAGAACTGCGAAACTGTTAATCAAAGTAGGTGTACCATTCGATATTCCCACCAGCAACATTTGAAGATTCCATTTTTTTCCATATGCTCTCATACCATTGTATTGCTGTATTTAAAAAAACATTTTTTTAGCCAGATTAGAAGATGTAAACTTGTATCTCATAGTGGTTTTTATTTGCATTTCTCTAATGACTATGCTGAGCAGTCTTTTATGTGCTTATATTGCCCATTGTAAATCTTTTTTAAAAAAATTTTTTATTCTTTATTGATTTTAGAAAGAGAGGAAAGGAGAGGGAGCGAGAGATAGAAACATTTATGAGAGAGAACATCGGTTAGCCACCTCCTGCATGCCCCACACTGGGGATTTGGCCCACAACCTGGGCATGTGCCCTGCTTGGGAATTGAACCGGCAACCTCTTGGTGCATGGGTCGACGCTCAGCCAATGAGCCACACCAGCGAGGCTGTAAATCTTTCTAGGGAAAAATCTATTCAAAATCTTTACCCATTATTTTAATAGGATTATTTTTTTAATTTCATGGTTTCTTATATATTCTGGATACAAGAACCATATGAGACAGATTATTTGCAGATACTTTCTCCCATTATGTGGGGTGTTGTTTGTTTTTTTTACTCTCTTGATAATGTCCTTTGGAGAGCGGAAGTTTCTAATTTTGATGAAGTTTAATTTATCTATTTTTCTTTTGTTTGCTGTGTGTGGTCACAAAAATCTTTGCTCAGTTATCTTAGTGGTGAGCTAATGAGCAGACAGAGAGATAATAAAATGCCCTGATTCAGTAAGTCCTCCAGAGAAAGTGCTCTCTTTCTGTTTACGGTCATGCATTGCATGCTCCTCCAAGAATTTACCAGTCTGCCCCAGCCATCACTAAGGTCAATCAGAGATGAGAGATTAGAGATTCTCTCCTTAATCCTAAAATGTAAAGAAAATGCATCTTTTCTGTTCATGCATACAACCCTGCACATTTAGGGTAGACCTGTTCACACTGATGAGGTCTTGGATAACTCTCAGGCTTGTTTTTAGCCCTCAGGTGTCTGCTAGGATGATGAGTCACGAAACTGGTGGGTCAAGGTTTCCAAGGCAGCTGTGGAAAGAGGGATGACACAAATCCCAGTGTTTTACTGAGATTCAGCCACTTTCTTTCGTCAGTATTTTCTTTTTTGAGAAATAATTGACATACATACATGATGATTTGATTTACATACATTGTGATGTGATGATTATAATTGGTGGTCTGTGGCTTGGTGCAAGCTTTTGCCTATTTCCAGAGAAAAAGCTGATTTTGCCAGTTTTGCCAGTACATATATTGCCCATATAGAAGAGAAGATTTTCTGGTCTTTACTAGTTCAAAGGATTTGGATTTCAAAGCTTCTTGGATTTGATTTTGACAAATAAATGTGAGATTTCTTTTTTTCTTTCTTTCTTTCTTTCTTTCTTTCTTTCTTTCTTTCTTTCTTTCTTTCTTTCTTCTAAAGCAGTTTATATAATGGTTTCCATGGTTTTGAAATGTTAGACTAATTTTTCTCTAATGTATTGATTGTTTCTAGGTTTAAAAACTGTTTTTACTCTATCAATAAGGCTATAAATTTTAACTGAGACCACACTGCTTTAATAAGTTTTTTTCTGGGGAAATATATAATTAAAAGATATAAAGCTAAATGTACAATTGCAAGTGTAAATAATATAATTAAGGGCTATCTTTAGCTACAAAATATGAAAAATTATGGTATAATTTTATTAATTAAAAATGTAAACTAGATTAGAAAAAAATGTCTGGAAATAGAGTTAATTTACATATAAACTCATGTATTTCAAATAATACTAAAAAGCTATGTTTATGAGTGAGATTACATTTCTTAAATAAAACATGTCTTATGAAAATAGTTATTATAGGTCTCCCAACTTCATTGGACTAACAATGATTATTTTGATAATTTAAAACAACATTCTACTCTATTTACTTTGTTCCTGCAAACACTTTTTAGAAAAAGTAAATGGCTAAAATATATATTAAATATAAACAAGTCACTTTTTATTTATTTTTATTTTTTTATTTTATTTTATTTTTTTTAATGAATTTTTATTTATTTTTTTGTTACAGATATTTTACCTTTTTACCCCATTGGCACCCCCCACCCCACCCCCCCTCCACACTGTCCCCGGCTTAGTTGTCCATGTCCATTGGTCATGCATACATGCATATAAGTTCTGTGGTTTATCTCTTCCCACCCCCCCAGCCCCCATCCCCTCTTCTGAGGGATGTCAGTCTGTGCCCTACTTCCATGTGTCTGGGTCTACTGTATTCCTCAGACTGTTATGTTCATTATATTCCGTATATAAGTGAGATCATGTGGTATTTGTCTTTTTCTGAACAAGTCACTTTTTAAACTTTACTTTTTCTCTATAGGACTTTGGAGACGATGGGTCCTTGTATATTACTAAGGTTACCACAACTCACATGGGCAATTACACCTGCTATGCGGACGGCTATGAGCAAGTCTATCAGACTCACATCTTCCAAGTGAACGGTAAGAATTTTGGAGTTGCTATAATTACTTTTTGCTTCACTAGATATTCAAAGAATATTATAGCTGACTGGAAAGGCAAGACTTTTTTTTTTTTTGAGTCTTGAGACTTAATGTTAATACAAAACCCTTTTCAATTAAAAAGAAATATCTGAGTTGAATAAATACTGTAAGCTGTACCACTTTTCTCCTCAGTAATCACTGCAAAGTAATTCATTCTAATTAAAAAATTAACACATAGGAAATTGAAATTACTTTTTAAGTTTATGAATATAAACAAATAGCCCTGGCTGGTTTAGCTCAGTGGTTATTACTGTTGGCCTGCAGACCAAAGGGCTGTGGGTTTGACTCCTGGTCAAGGGCACGTACATGGGTTGCAGGTTTGAACCCCAGCCCCTTCTGGGGTCATGTGGGAGGCAACCAATCAATGTGTTTCTCTCACAAAGATGTTTCTCTCTCAATCCCTCCCTCCCTTGCACTCTCTAAAAATCAATGAAAAAAATATCCTCAGGTGATGATTAACAACAACAACAAAAAATCAACAATAGGGAACCATATCAATTTCAGAAACTGAAAAATAAACATTTAAAATGTTTAATCAGATTACCCATTTAGTTGATTTTATTAATGATACAGAAAACTTATCTACAGCAAATTTTATACTTTTAATGGTTAATTTAATGGCTATGAACATTGATTGGCCAAGTAGGCTGATATTATTCAAAGCTTTGTTTTACTTCTGATTTAATTAAAATTCTACGTATTTAGTTGAGTTGACGATAAACAATGGCATGTTTGATTAATACACACTCATTTTTATACTAATATATATGTTAACTTACTCTATGATTTACAACAGGGAGGAAAACATTTCCTGGCTTTCTGCAGGAACAGCAAGATGGCTAGTGTGGTTGGTATGAATTAAGAGGAGAGTGAGAGACACGAGTTTGGAGAGGTGGACTGAGGTCGGATCTCATGGAGTCCTGTGGACCTAAATATTTCGATTTTCATTCTAAGTGTAATGAGAAGCTATCAAAGTGTTTAGTGTATAAAGTGGCACATTCTTGTTTGCTTTAAAATTTCTGAAAAAACTAAGATCTGTTAAAATATATTTTAATAGTCTAGGGAAGAGATCATGGTCACTTGAAATGTAGCTTAATGGTGAAGAAGTGAAGAAGTGATCCAGTTAGGGGCATATTTTGAAAGTAGATCTGATGATATCACTGAAGAATGGCATGTGAGTATGAGAGAAAAAGAATTAGAAAAAAATTAACCCAAGGAATTTGAAAGATGTATGGGGGAGAAACAAAAGTTATCTCTGATCGTTTCTTATGGGCAAGGTGTCTAATTTAAATTCTTTTTGTAATTAAGGGAGGAGGGGCGGAAGTTTCTCTTGAATTTGCTGCTAAAGTTGCCATCATTTAAAACAATCTGCATACCACAGAAACACATCTTGGAGTAACTCATTCTGGGCCTCCCACAGAAGCATTTAGATATGCGGTCGTGACATTAAGTGCAATGGAGAAGAAGCATATTTGGAGATTGAGTGAGGTTAATATGTATTGGGGTTTGTTTTGTTTTGTTTTGTTTTTGAGAAGTAAACTTCAATACAGTTATCCAGATAGAAGTCAACTATGCAAGTTAGTATATAAATCTGGAGATCAGAGGAGAGTGACAGGCCAAAGTTGAATGATTAGATAATATCAAAGTGCATAGACCTTATTTAAAGCCACAAATCTGCATCTGATGGGGTCACCTTAGGAATGAGTATAGATGAATGTGAAGTCAGAACCTTGGAGCCAAGGTTAAAAAGTAGGGAAAAGAAGACTGAGAATGAGCACCCTGTGATGGAACTGTGTGTCCTGGAAACCAGTTAAGAAAATGTTGGAAAAAAGATTGAAGAGACTGGGGAGTTCACGGTTTGATTATTGTTGGCACTCAGTAGAAGCAGATCTATGCTTAATTCTGGTACAAGCCCAGTTGACAAATAGAAATGGTAAAGGCTTGTAAATTGAGTTCCTGGAGACACCCAGCAGGGTGTCCAATAATTCAACTCAATTATGACACTGTCTAGCCAGAAACAAAATCAAATTCCACAGGTAAAGGGTTTGGTCCCACAAGACTACCCACACCTACACACACACACACACACACACACACACACACACACACTCTTCAGACACCAGCTGTAAGCCCAGACTGTCATCTTTATTTCTGGCTAATCAACTGTAGCTTCCAATGTTCCCTTCCAACTCAGAATGCCAATTGCAAGTCCAATTGTTATCTGAGCAACTGGCTATAAATCAGAGATTTCCACAATTAGTTTACTAGAATCCTAGGCTGAGGTCTAAAATTTGACTGAGCATAACAAAGGACACTTTGATAACTCTCAACACTTAAAAAATTCCCAGGGCTTGGGGGTCTGCATCAGAAATGGGGTTGAAGAGCAAATACATATTTCTTATTATACATCACAATATCACAGCTTGGTAACCCACTCTCAAGAGAACCAGTGAAGAAAGCAGGCAAGATGAGAAGGACTTGATGCATGCTCTTCTCTCTGGTCTCATGTTTGGAGCGAACTTTCAGATATAGCATTTGTACCTGAGGATACACAATCTTGGTGTCACAGTAGGTAGGTAGTTATTAATAAAGGAAAGGAGCAAATGTAATCTGACATTAAGCCTGGTAAACCAGGAAGGGGCAGCTTTACAGACATCCTAGGGGATAGCCACATTCTCCACCAAAGGGACGTTAGCCCCCCAGCAGGAGGAAAGATATCTTTCAATCTCCCAGGGGGGACACCAACGCATTCACCTGGATTCCCAGGGGAAGGGGATAAACAGTACGGGGAAATTCCTCTGCTGGATGCATGCACAGTAGATGCCAGATGATGAAGCAGAACTTTCAGGCATGTATGATAGAGTCAAAATAGTGACTATAAAGGAGAGGAATCTAACCTGGGAAAATCTGGGGAAAAGATCGAATATGATAAGGGCATGGCACCCAGGAAGATCAATGAAAGGGACTGGGTAGGGGGAGGGCCCAGCACAGGCACAGGAAAACTCAGGACATAGTTTGGACAGCTTAAAAGATAGCCTGCTTGTTTCTGAAGCCAAGAAAATCTGTGAAGGATTGGTAAAGACCTCGGGGCCACTGCTCCTAGAACCTGCTGGCTCTCTACATCCCCGGGGGCATAGTATTTCCTTTCAACGCGATAAACCTTGCCACTATGCTTGGACTTCTTTTATGCATGTGTTCCTGAAATTTTCTCTTGTGACATCGCAAGAGCCCGTTTTCTCTCCTAACATTGACAGTACGGGACAATTGCATATGGAGGATGTTCCTTATCAAGGTGCTGCAGGCTTGGGGAGATGGTCAGTGCTGCCCGTGTGGGCCTCACCTCCCTCTTTGTTGTGATGGCTTCCATACTAATGGCCTATTTGACAAGAGTAATGCTCTACAAGTTTTGAGGGGAGGGGTAATCTGTCTTTATCTCTTATCCTCATTCTTAGTCCTGGTTCTTTCAGTCTAAGGACCTGCCATGGGAGAGTTCTTGGTAGTTTGTGGAGCAGTGAGCAGTTGGCTCATGTTCTACCTGCATCAGAATCACATGGAAAAAAGTATCAACAATGGAGAACCCTGGCTTCACCAGCACTCTTTGGAAATATGATTTGAAATGTGCATTTTGACATGTCCTGTGTAACGATGCTTCCTACTGAAACGTATGAGCCTTTGTAAATGGCTGTCCTGCGGGAGTTTCTGCCGCTCGTTCATGCCCCCTGCAGATTTCTTGCATACCCCACGCATTAGCCATGCTCCACTCGGGAAGCCCGGGAAGAAGGCTTGGAGCCGAACTCAGGCTTTATATTGGTAGATATGCCTTGAGCTGCATTGAGGAAATGCAGCCTCCCTGTTTCATCCTCTCCTGTGAATGAATCGCTTACTTTCTGATATCAGGTTTTGCTGAATATGGAACTAAAGGAACGATGAGGTCTCGGAGCTCCCTCTACCCACTATCAGTCTAACATTATAGATTAACTAAAAGGAATTCAATAAAGTTGTCCCATATCTGCAGAGAATAGACTACCCCCCCACCAGGGAATGCCTGAAAACGCAGATAGTACCAAACCCTGTATATACTATGTTTCTTCCTATACATACCTGTGATAAAGCTTAATTTATAAATTAGGCACAGTAAGAGATTAACACCAATAACTAATAATAGATTAGAATAATTATAATAATATGCTGTAATAAAAGTTATGTGAATATGGTTACTTGTTCTAGATGTCCCTTGCTGAAGTCTTTGTATAGGCTCAGTGTTTCCATTAATTGAAACACGTTTTCTATTCATGTTTTCTACACACATAATTCATACCTTTTCCACCTTAACTAAGCACTTATCATGCACTATGGCTGTAACTTCTGCAGTTTTGTGTTGTGACACCAAAACTAGCAGGAATTTATTTTGTCTTCACAATTTCACGGATAGAAGATTTGTTCTTACTGTAGATCTTAGCAACTTCAGCATACAATTCTTTTTCTTTTTTTCTTTATTGATTTTAGAGAGAGAGGAAGGGAGAGGAAGAGAGAGATAAAAACATCCATGAGAGAGAACATCAATTAGCCACCTCCTGCATGCCCCCCACTGGGAATCAAGCCCACAACCTGGTCATGTGTCCTGACGGGGAATCGAACCAGCGACATCTTGGTGCCTGGGTCGATGCTCAGCCACTGAGACACACTGGCCAGGCCAATTCTTGTCTTTCCTTATTAAACTGAGAACTTTCACCTTTTCACTCAGTGGAAGCACTTTCTGGTTTGTCTTTGGCACATCCAAATTGCCGACATCACTACTCTTGTGCTTTGGGACCACTGTTAAGGAAAATAGAGGTTACTGGAGCACAAGCACTTTGATACCAGGACAGCCCATCCGATCACCAAGACGGCTACTGTGTGAGTCATGGTCAGGGAGCATGTACAGTGTGGAGACGCTGGAC